GGAAGACGGGATCTGCGGCGGCATACTCAGTCGTGATGGCAGCGCTGCTTTGGCGTTCTCCAACGAGTGGGCCCTTGGGCGGTCAGCGCGCTTCCGCGAATATTGTCGCAAGCAAACTCACAGTAGCCTCGGGCTCGTATTCGCTCGACAGCTTCTGCAGATGGGCATACTCGTCGTCTGAGGGATACGCGGCCATGTTGAGGTGGGGGTTGCGATGCTGGTGGCCTGGGTGATGGCCAGTGTGGTGATTATAGCTCCCGGGAGCAAGGACCGGCGCGCGGATAGCAAACGCTAATCCGCCTTGGTAGTGGTTCTGAGCCGGAACTCCATAGTGGCCCTGGTGTAGGTGTGCATGTGGATGATGCTGGCCATGAGGGTGATAGCCCGTCAACACTGACTGTCTGCTCATTTCGTCTTGGAGTTATGAGCGTGTGTGGGTGTCCGTGTATGTGTGGGTGTGTGGTTGCTTTGCCTTTAGTTCCCCGCCGTGTGTGCTCAGATGGCTCCTTGGGGGGGCCGTGGGCGTGACTGGCCTCAGTGGCTAGCAATTGGACGGAATGATTCCACGACAGATTCGGCAACGCGCGAGCAATCTCAGCAACAGTTCGTCGACGAGCTGCTAGAGAGGGCAGCAGCGTCTTTAGTAGGTGCAGAGGCCGGTGGCAGTAGGCTGGAAGTTGTGTCGTCGCTGTGATACTCACGGGCGTCCAGGGGCACACGCCAATATATGGGAGAGACAGGAGGGGATCTTCGCGGCGTGCGAGTGGAATTCAATCTGCCAGGCACCAGAACAGTCTGCAACACTATGGCTCAGCCGCTTTGAAACGGCCAATTTCAGTCGCACCGGATATCTGCTGGGCAGAGAGGGCAGGGCGCGACGGCGTACAAGAGGGAGGCCACTCCGCACAGCCAGCGCCAGGGAGGCATCGAGCAAAAGAAAGTACTATGAGATGCTCTATGCCACATCTTCCAAGACCACCCGGCTACGGTTGCCCCCCACAGCCCAGGGTGTGATATCGATTTACGTTCCCACTAGTCTTCATGGGTTAGCATCTGGAGATTGAAGTGCACTCTTTGCTCCATCACATCAAACATTGAATCGCCGAGCAAAGAGCCGCGGAAGAATCAGAGTCACGAGACGGCTAGTATGACGGCATGAAGAAGCCTCTTGCGCTCTTGTCGGGTGTAGCAAGCATTCGAGCAGGCCCGCCAACCGGAACAATTGCAGAATCCGAGGCTGGTGGTGCATGCATGCATGCGACGAGAGAACGCTGTGTCACGTCGTGGATTGCGCTCAACACAGCATCATCGAGACACTCATGGCGTAGAGGAACATGCCAAGACCGCCCTCTGGCGCCTGAGCCCTCACGTTGCAGTGGCCGCCTGTATTGCATGATTCGCTCTGCCGCTCCGTGGCGCTTCTGCGACAGAAAAAACAAGTGCCCGCGCACCCGAGATAAACTCTAGTCGAGTTACCGATCCCACGCTGCATGCGAGCCAGGGCGGGCACGGCGTGGGAGCATTGCTATTAGCTGAGAGGTTCGCTTGGAACACTACCCTCGTCTGTGCCCGCTTCCCCGGCGCGCAGTGCAATCGTCGGGAAACCCACTGTGATTCGTACGAGAGCAACCGAGTGAAGCTTGAGATCACCATGCATCACGTTGAGATTCAATTCACGGCTTACTGGCACCGAGATACGGAGGCGCTTGGTGGCAGCAGGCTACCGCGATGACCGCGCAGTCGGGACCTTGGCTTTTATTACCAGAGAACGAGGCCATGTTACATACAGACAAAAGTGAACCGCTGCTGACCTGTGGGTAATTGCACTTCATTGCGTGACCGAACATGTCCGCTGCCCACATGCTATGTTGAGACGCCTGCCGCTCATGTGCACGCAAATTCTTGCCCGGTGCTACCCGATTGCCCAACCCTATCTCTTGCCTTGAGCAACTTGACCGCATGTCTCAATTACTTCAGGTGAGAAACGCCCGGGTGACGGTACTGTGCAACTATCTTTACTCCGTGGCCTGCCCGGAAACCCAGTTACAGGTCGCCTTGTGAACCGCGCGCGACCGATGCTGCAAGTCATCCTTTGCCCATTACTCCCGGAAGCCTCCCCAGACCCTTGCCTTTGCCTCGACCGGACTTGCCACCCATCGAACCTTGATTCCAGCTCATGCTTTGAGGCCCGCCACCACCAGGCGTGAATTGAGAACCGCTCTCGTCTGACTTGAAGCCGTCGCCTTCGTTTAGCACTGTCTGCCACAACGCTCCAATGGCACTACTCCATTCCTTCATCGCCTGCACCCGATCCATGTCTGTGCTACTCTCAATCTCTACCGTTCCGTTCTGCTGGTTGATCTTGCCACGCAACCGCTTGTCGACTATTAGGAACCCTACAATTTCCTGCACCTCGGAAAGAGATATCTTCAGCTGTTTAGAAATAAAGGCTAACGTGAAGCGGGTGTAGGGTGCGACGAGCTTGACCACAGCCTTGGTTCGCACGTTGCGCGTAACTTCGTCAATGTTCTCGGCAATGAAAGGATCTTGGAGCAGATCCTGATTGTTCTGCAGGATCTTCTCGTAACCGTGAATGTCTTCAAGCTGATAGGCGTTGACCAGGTCAGTCATTGTAGAGATGCGCGGGTCGTTCTGGTAGGGCTTGGTTTCCTGCGAGTCAAACGGATTGATATCGGAACCTGACAGCATAGTCGCTAGGACCAAATACTTCAGAACCTGGATTCGTTGGAGCGATCCAGCCTCATCGTAGTTTTTGAAGCTCTCAAAGAAGTCACTCTGCGCGCCCTTCCAATTCTCTTCGCTCATGTGCATTTTGCCACCACATTCTCGGATAATACCCATAATCTTGGGGTGCGGAACCGCGGATTTGACCTTGAGCGCTCGTTGGTAGAGTGCCTGTCATGATGTTAAAGATAATGCAGGTAAGGTTGAAGGGAGACGAGCCGTACCTTTAACCGCTTGTTATTCCTGGTCTCGGCGTACATCAGAATTTCTAGCGAGTAGACTTCCAGTGAGTATGTGCCTTTGCTCGGGTCGTCTGTTCCATCCTCCTTCTGACAGGCTTTGTGTAACTCGCGGAGCTTCTCCGTAAGCTGACGGTAGTCCTTCCTGTCCAACCACAGCCTCGCGAGCTTGATGTTGGTCTTTAACCAAAGCCGCTCGTTGTTGGTGCTCTGGAAGATATCGAGGGTCAGGGCGTAGAAGTTCTCCATGCAGCGATATGCATCGGCGTCTTCTGCGGCCTTTTCTATAAAATCGAGCATGTTGTTGATGGACTTTTCGGAGTAATTGCGCGTGACGGCTGACTTGACGTAGGTCAGCAGCTCTTTGTAGTGCTCAACGGCCTACGAGCATTAGCCAGGATTCATTCTTAGCCGTTGCCGTGTTTACCTGGTCGTAGCGGGCCAGCTTGAACTCCAGCTTGATTGCCTGCTTCAGTCCCTTGAAGCCCCTATGGATTCGTCAGCGTATATCCGTTCCCCCAAATTTCCATGGTTCCTACCAGTCCGACTTCTCTTCTTCTAGAGCAGGCATTCCCAAGAATTCATCTATGGCGGCCTCGGGATCGTCGGCCTTGAGCTGCTTCGCATTGTAGTACTTGTTCTCGATGTCGACATCGCCACTCTGCTCGTCATCATCGTCCTCGTATTCGAAGTCGTACCTGTAATATGTTAGAGGGCATGTCGCGTCAGAGCTGGCGGTTGCTACTTACTCCTCCTCGCCGGAGTCTTGCATGAAATCATCGTCGTCGGACATTGCTGTGCCGTTGGTGGTGAAGTGAAGAGTGAGGTTCGGGTGGTGTTCTTTAAGCTCTATCGAAGAGGCAGCGCAGTGATATTATGTCGGTTGATAGAAGCGTGCGTCGAGTGTCTTGTTTAGAGCTCTCGCGACTGTTTGCCTACGTGAGGCGGCGGTAGGTGCCTGCGGAAGAGCCCCACTTTCGCGGGGCTAAGCTCCCCAGACGCAGCACCCATGAAGAGCATCGAAACCTTCCTTCTGCATTCACTCGAAGACTGTTGCAAAGTACTCTTGAGGCGTGGCTAAACTTATGCCTATGGAGCTGGAGCAATGGTTCTATCTTCATATCGACTTGTGCACACTCTGTGCCCGACAGCAATCTCCGCTTCATCTCCCGGTCGCATTGACGCATTATTGATTTTGAATCAGTTCGGAGTGGAGTGAATCGGTGATTATGAACATTCGCAAAGTCTCAGAGTCTGTGTCAGGCGTTCACAGGGCTGTGCAAGTATAATAACTCGAGTGTAATATAGCGTGCAGCAGACGGCGAACGATAGCATTAGACAGCACATACTAAGCTCGCGACCTTCTTTTTTCGGTCCGGCTTCCAGCATGTGGAGAAGGCTCAGACCCCGGGAACTCTCATCCCAGATCCATCCTCAACCACTCGCCGTCACTAGCAGATCCCTTAACTCGGTTCACGGTCACAGGCCGTCATGTTAGCCCTAACTATGAATTCTTCAAGATTCTAAGGTCTTGTCTGTGGCACTTGCTCTTGGCCTTTCCCCACGCACACCAGCGACTTTGGCAGGCTTGTTGAGTATCTCGGGTGCAGTGTACTGCGCCTCAGCCGACAATTGCATAGTGCTACGTCCGTGTCGATGCCCAAATGCGTAGTGTCGAAGCCGTGGAAGGGTTGCGGAAGTGAGCAGTACTAGCCGTCCTTTTAGGCCTAGCTTTAGCGACGTGGGTGGATCTTCAACTCCATCCATCCATCGCTTGCATCTCCAGCCCAGCATCTGGAACCCTCCCGGCTTAACTCTTAACTCCCACATCCTTATCATCCTCCGTCCGCTAAGAGTCCCCGGTGCAACTCTCACTCTCGCTCTCGTCCTCGCCGCGTCCGCGTCCGCTGCCACGATCGCGACCGTCGTCCTTTGTTGCACCAACGCGCGTGCGCTCTCTCATCCCTGAGCCGACGGAACGAACCCATCGCCGAGTCTCCCTACGCGACCTTCACGATGCCCATGTGCGGTGGAACAAAGTCTGTGCAGCGCAAGCTGGTGCTGCTGTACGTCTCTCATATGCGCCGGCTCTCTTTGTTCGGGTAATCGACGCATCATGCGACAGAACAAGGCTAACGTACCTCCGACAGCGGTGACGGTGCATGCGGCAAGACCTCATTACTTAATGTATTCACAAGAGGGTAGGTACCAACGTTTTTGTGCGATATCTGGAGCTTACTGACTTATTAATAGTTACTTTCCAACAGTATAGTGAGTAATCTGCATAAAATAAATGCGCGCCCGAGGCTAACAAAGCCCTTTCAGCGAGCCTACAGTATTTGGTGAGGACTCTCCTCGCACTCTAGCTTCATACCGCTAACAAACCTTACAGAGAACTACGTACACGGTTTGTGCGCCTATTCACAAATCCCTATTTACACAATTGACGTGGCGCTACAGATATCTACATCGACAACACACACGTCGAGCTTAGTTTATGGGATACCGCTGGACAGGAAGAATTCGACAGGCTACGATCGCTGAGCTACGATGACACCCACGCGATCATGCTTTGCTTTTCGGTACGATTATTTGCCGCCTTTGTGCCGAAACACTAACTTACAGGGCACAGGTCGATTCACCAGACTCGCTCGAGAACGTAGAAACGAAATGGGTCGGCGAGATAGCAGAGAACTGCCCTGGTGTTAAGCTCGTTCTGGTTGCACTCAAGTGTGACCTGCGGAAAAAAGAAGATGACGACGCGGATGACCAACAGCCCGAGAAGCCATGTATCGACTATAATGAGGGTCTTCGCGTAGCAGAGAAGATCAAGGCTCTGCGGTACCTGGGTAAGTCGTGTCAATTTTGAAATCAACGACAGCCAGCTGACATGTCTAGAATGCTCTGCCATGAAGAACCGAGGTGTCAACGAGGCTTTTACCGAAGCCGCCCGTGTGGCTCTGCAAGTCAAGACTAGCAAAGATAAGAGCGGCGGTTGCACCATCCTATAGGCCGATGACACCCTCTCGCTATCCTTCCTGAACACAACCCTACTACTACAAAGTACTGGCCCTGGCCGCACGCTATCAGCACCTCGACCGAAGTACACAACACCCAGCTCCTGTCATCACACCATCTTCACTGTATCCGCGTCGCCCAACTTCTTCGTACTTTCACCCTATCGCTAGTTCTGTGCTTTTTGGGAAAAGGTGGCAAACTGTTTGATGTTGGTCCAAGTCCAGCTGGATGGGACGCATACTCAGAATGGGAGCACGGATTGGCTAGTAGTGCTCCCGGCATAGACCTTCCCCTTACCCCTTTATACCGCTTCGACGCTCTTATACTTTTATTGTACATGTTTGCTCCAGTACAGCTTCGGCGCTGGCTCCCTTCACTTCTTTCCTTGGTTTGGCGAGGTCTATATGCGTTCAAGCTCTCGGTGGTGAGAGCGTTTTGGATAGATGAGCTGAGTTCGAAGGGCTTTCAGGATCGATGTCATATTGTTTAGAAAACTGCCAGATAGCTTACGCTCTTCAAACACACAAGTCCAATACTCTGAGTGGATTTCTAAATACCGCTTGTGAACAAGCTCGAGGCTTTCACGATGCACTCTCCTCTACCGGAACCTCTGCGACCTTCTTAACTACCCTAGCTGGTTGTCCCATGACAACACAGAAGTCTGGCACATCCTTTGTCACAACACTCATCGCTCCCACCGTAACTCCTCTGCCTATCTTCACTCCGGGTAAGATGACTACGTTCCCACCAATCCAGCAGTCATCACCAACCACAACAGGCTTTCCATATTCGATGTTGTCCCGTCGCGATTGCACTTCCGCCTCATGTGTAGCCGCGAAAATGGATACATTAGGACCAAACATACACCGATCCCCTATCGTTACAAGCGAGCAGTCTAGGATAGTCAAATTGAAGTTGGAGTAAAAGCGTTTGCCCAAGGAGATGTTGCAGCCATAATCAATGTTGAATGGCGGTTCGATGAAGATGTCGTCGTCGGCTACATGGCCAATGACCGTTTTGAGCATTCGAAGACGTTCTGCGGCGAGGATGTCGAAGCCTTTTTCCGAGTCGGTTGTTTCGGGGTCCGGGAACCATGTGTTATATTTATTGGCAAAAGCTCTGGCTTTGAAGCGCGCGGCATTCAAGGTGGGACTGAAGGCATTGTAGCTGTGATTGTGTTAATTATGTGGAACGGTGAGGAGATGAAATCTGGATGATGTGCTTCGAATGTCGGATGAGTTGCACATAGCACTAGTTATACTGCGTGGTGAAGGTGTCTGCTATTTCCGATAATAACAGTATCCTCCAGTTGTACTTTAGGACAGCCCAGTGAAGTAATGCTAGGGAATTGGATAGAGGCTTTTTACATACAGCATCCCAGAGATCATCTTCTCGTATTCCTCGCACCAGGGTACATGATTCAGCTTCTTCGCCGTCTCTATCTCTTGCGTATTCTTCTCCTTTGATGCCATGTCGAACGATAAATCAGCCGTAGTTTGAGTGATGGAATTATTCTCTCGTCTTCATTGCATCTGGTCTTTACCCTTATAAACAGAAGCAGAGTATACGGTAAGCTTGGAATTGACGCTAAGTGGGGTAAAAAGACAAGTAAGGAAGCAGCCCCAGATGCAATGGGGTAATACCTCGCACTTTAGCGCTGACCATAACTCAGCTGGAGCAGATAGGCCACACAAAAAACGTACCGTCTGTGTTTCCACATTCCTGGTCAGCAGCGAGTGTTCCACAGTTTGCGGCACGACTTCTGACCAGTGAGAGCTCACTTGCATCGGCCAACTGGGAAGATCTCCTGTGTCGTGTGCTTGGATACATCATATTGCCTACTCGGCCCGATCTGGACGCTGTCTTTTGCCTTTGCTTTGGAGATGCAGTTCGCTATACAGTCGAGGACAAGTCACTGATCTTACTGTAGCTGTATGCAGGGGAATTGCATCCCTTTACCCGTTTTCGGACACTATTTCTCGACATGTGCTTCTCCCGAGAGCTTTATGAGTCTTTGTAGATGTATGCTTGAATGCGAGCGATCTTTTCATGTTCGAATCACGTGGGCATTTTGCCGCCCTAGAAGGAACTCCGTCATCGATCAACAGCAAGCAGCCACAACGACACCTGCAGCGATCAATGCAGACATGAGTAAATGCCAGAATATGATTAGGCTTGACAAAACATTTAGAAAGGTCTTGCAGTTTCAAGAACAGTGAATGCAAACCGATGTGCACGGACCGCCAAGAATCCTAGCGCCCTCGCTAATGAATGTGTGGCCGCTGGATGTCGAAATTGATTCCCCTCTCCAGCCGTCTCGACTCTCGCGCCCGATTCAATCGACTTCAAGCCATCAACGACAATCAACCAAACCAAGAGACTCTCCATAAACCGTCAAAATGGTGAGTTTGAGCCACCGAGGGCATTTAGGAGCGCGCGAGAGGGGTCTGTGAGCGGGCACACGAGACTCTCGGAGTTCGCCACTGCATCTCGAATTTGCAACCTCTCGTCGCTGTGCCTTGCGCCCCAGATGTCTCGATGAAGATTTTGAACTAACCGGGCTCCAGGTTCTCGCAGTTGACCTTCTCAACCCTTCCCCGGCCGCGTACGCACATATTCCCGCCTCTTCGCCCTCGACCTGCGACTAACAAGTGTCTAGTGAGGCCCGCAAGCACAAGCTCAAGACCCTCGTGCCCGCTCCCCGCTCCTTCTTCATGGACGTCAAGTGCCCCGGATGCTTCACCATCACCACCGTCTTCTCGCACGCCAACACAGTCGTCGTCTGCCAGGGCTGCTCGCAGGTCCTGTAAGTCTAGGACAATCGGACATAGAATCAGGGCATGGACTAACGCATTCACAGGTGCCAGCCCACTGGTGGCAAGGCGCGATTGACCGAGGGCTGCTCTTTCCGAAGGAAGTAAACGTTTCGTCGGAGTGATGACAGCTGGGATTGATGGGTTACGATGACGACTATCATGGCTTAGGGGTGTAGATCTCATTGGCGCCGATCGACTCGACCGCAGGATAGAAGAGGGATCTTTCGACCCGAGTCAATGCAAAAGTCACAAAAACGGGAGTTCCGGATATCTCAGCGCTGATGGACAACCCTTTTTCCTCGAATCTATTTCCTTTTGTTCGGCATGGTCTTTCGGCTTTCATGTACATGCATGTGGGAGGAGAGATAGCATTTCAGAGCCTTTGGATCAGTCGTCCGAGGTGAGGACCGGCTTGCAATCGAGGATACCTACGCATGCTAGCGGTCCTTTGTAAATCAAAGCGTCAAATCCTCACATTCATTTCACACACAACTAAGGTGAATCTTGGCTTCTCTGTTGGATGCCATGTACACGCCCGTACCACGTCGTTTTGCAACACTCTAACTTGTTTGACGTGCTCATCGCTTCACTCCGGATCCTTTGTAGACCCCATACCAAGCCTTACAGATTTGATACCTCAATGACCTACTAGTATCGCAAAAAGCCTTGCTCTTTGCCTAGAATAGAAGGACATCATTCTTGGCTAGGTTTTCTGCTGTCAAAGTGGGGAAGCGTGGCCGAGACCCCCTGGCCAGTTCATGGCACCTTCCCTACGCCTGCCCACATGACTGGCAAAACGCCGACCTCCGCCAAAACACCAATTCTCATTGATAGTAGTCGACACGGCCGTCACTTTTAAAGACAGGAGACACCGCCGCTGCATAATTGTTCGTCTAATTTCCTTATTCCAATTAATGGTTGGACACGAGTCGAGAACAAGCCACCTCACGTCATCGTCAATACAGCCATTCGCACGTTCGTTCGCTCGCGCGTCCCCGCGGCTTCCATTCCGAGTGGCACTAAAATAGATCCGTCAATAATCAAGATCAATATTAACAAACACGCGCCAGCGCGTCGTGGAAAAAATGTCTACCTCATCATCAGCAGGCGCGGGAGGACCAGTTCCGTCAAACCCCCACCCCATCCCCTTGACGGAATCTGAAGTTCTGATCCGCGGATTCCTCGCCGCTAACCCGGAGCTCGGCGACGATAAATCGAATCCTATCGAGATGATGACCGATCGGTATACTAACGAGGAGTGGAAGGCGCAAATCGATGAGACCATCAAGAATGTCATGAAAGAAGTGGACAGTGGAGAAAGGGCGAAGAAGGTTTACGAAGGCCCAAGGATGAGGAATGGAGAAGAAGCGCTGAAAGAGTTGGCTAAGACGGTGGATCATACCGTGCTCAAGTTGGATGCGACGACAACCGCCATCGATGGGCTGTGTAGTGAGGCAAGGACGGAAAACTTCAAGGTGTGTCCATCCCCAGAGGATTGAGGCTGGTCGTTTGAGACAAGGAAGAGTTATACTGTTAGGCTATGAGGCTGCAAGACACGCGTTATGCGCCACGGTATTCAGGAGCCTCCAACTGACAAGCTTTACAGTCAGTCTGCGTCCGCCTCAACTACGTCCAACGCTGCGTTTCCAACCTCAAGGGCACTGACGTACTCGTCGCCTGCGTCGTCGGTTTCCATGAAGGAACCCAAGACACATACTACAAGCTGCAAGAAGCACGTGCCGCCGTAGCAGCGGGTGCCGCAGAACTCGATGTCGTCCTCAACTACTCCTTACTCACCAAGCACAACCGACCTGCTTCCCCACCCGCAGACCACATCCTCACCGCCCGTGACTCAGCAATTGACAGCATCACCGCTGCCAACACAGCCATCAATGCCGGAAGCAGCGACATTGAAGAAGAAGAAACAGGAGGAATCCCAGACTACAGCGCCATATACAGGGAATTGGCTAGCATAAGAAGTCTCTGCCCTGCCCCTACAACACTCAAACTCATCCTCGAAACTTCGCAATTGAATTCTGCCCAGATTCTTGCGGCGTCTCATCTTGCCGCTGCCGCTAGCTTCGACTTTATCAAGACATCTACAGGCTTCAACGGTCCGGGCGCTAATCTTCCCAATGTGAAGCTCATGGTAGCTGCGGCAGAATACCTTGCATCGC